GCAAAGTCTTATATGTCCATACTTTGAAGTCTTCTAAGAAAATGCAGTGATGTCATAAGACATTAACTCCCATTTTTCCCTCAACCTCAATTTATATATTATTACTTTAGATTTTTAATTCTTCACATAATTAAACCACAAAATGTTATTTTTATTCATAAGATCAATATTCCTTTGGTTTTATCAACTTATTTACCATTTTGTTTTTCATTCCTTCCTACATCTCTTCTCCCTGTCTGAAGAATGCTGTTACTATCTCCTTTTCTGCAAGTCTGCTGGTGAGAAATTCTATCAATTCTGAACTGAAGTTATTGAAATATTTGACTGAAATATTTTCATCTTACTTTCACTCTTGGAAAGTATTTTTGCTCATTAGCATGTATTTTCTTTCAGCACTTTGAGAATATCATTCCATTATCTCTAATTATCATTCCATCCCATATATTCCATGTCAATTATTTCTATTGATATCATCTTTTGGTCTAATTGATGCTCCTTTAAAGGCAACCTATCTTTTTTCTCTATCTGCTTTGAGGATTGTCCCATTGTCTTTGTTTTCAAAAGTCTAATGAGACTAAGTGGATTTTCTTTGTATTTTTCCTGCATGGGATTTACAGGACTTCTTGAATATGTGGTTTGGTATCTTTAACGATTTTAGAAATTTTTCAGCCATTATCACTACAAATACTTTCTGACCCATTCTTTCACTCTTCCATTTTGAGACTCTAATTATGTATATGTAAGACCTTCTTACTACATTCTTTTCATCTTACATTGCCTTCTTATTTATTTTTACTTTCTATCCTTATCTCCATGTTTCATTCTGCATATTCTGTTATAACCTATGTTTAAATTCCTAATTTTCCCCAATGTTAGGCCTAATTTACTGTTAAAACCATCCACCAGCTCTCATGATTTTAAGTATCTTGTTTTTCAATTTTAGAATTTCCATTTTATTCTTTTTCATAATTTCTAGCTCTGATGAATTGCCTAGACTTAACTGTATTTTCCTTGATTATACTCACACAGAGTTCTTTTACATTCTGTCTGATAACTCCATTATCTAGAGAGCCTATGAATCTGATTCAGTTGTCTGTTTTGTCTCTGTGGTTTCTGAATCTTTGAATCTTTGTGTACTTGTTTATTTTTTAATCCATATCAAACAATGTACATTAAAATGTAAATAGTTTGAGATTATTTATATTTGCTTTTAACAGGTTCCAGGGAGACTAGCAAAAGTGGATCACATTAACCAAATTTAAGACCTGAAATAATTTAAAGCTAGACTTCAATCCTTAAAAGGTAAGTCTAAATCTGAGTTTATCTTTTCTTCTAGTGCCAACCTAAAATGTATTGATGTACCATGACCTCTCTTTGGTAGGCCCTGGATTCCAGAACATGATTCCTAGGTCTGACAGTTACTCCAAATGTCAACATCTCAGACACTTCTAGAATTGGCAGGCACCCCTGGTAAAATAGTGAGCTCTTCTCTCTGGGTTTCACCCTTCCAAAAAGTTTTGGTCCCATAATTCTTCACAGCCAAATTGCCTCGTGTATGTCTTTTTTTGTTTTTGTGTTTTTGTTTTTGTTTTTTTAAACACTTTGTCCATCTTTTTGGAGAGTTCTTAGGTGGATTATTGATCTAAATTACCTCATTCACCACAATTAAAATACATATGTATGCTCTGCAAAAAAGTATTGGGCCCAAATATCTCACTAATCAAAGAATTCATGCAATCTTCTAATTCCTAAGTAATGTTGGAAAATGTACTCAACTTGGAAAACAGAATGGAGACCCCCAGGAAGCAAGTAAATTTTTCTATTTAAAGTATATATACTCCTTATATGAAAATGAATCAATTTTCTTAAGCTGATCATTTATTTAAAAATAAACATTAAGATGTCTAATATAAAATGTCTAAAATATATTTAGTATGCTACTAAAGCTCAATAAGCCATACTGTAATATGAACTTACAGTAATAATAAGGGAAACCCTGATATTGTAAATACGTATAACGAAGTGTTATAGGTAAAATGATAACAAGTTTGCACTGAGAACAGTGGTGTTCTAAGAAAAACAATGCTAAGTTTGGAGTGGGGACCAAAGGAGAGGAATGAGTTATAAATGAGGAAGTACAAGATGAACTGGTACAGGAAGAAACAAGCAAGGGAAGCTATTTCTGGCATGGGGGCAAAAGAGCCAGAAAGAGCCACAAGCGATGTGAGAGTCACTACAGAATTAGGACTTGGGAAACTATAAGTAGTTCACCGTAGTTGTAACATAAGGGGGTATAAGCATGCACATGAATATGGGTATGTGAGTGCAGCAGGGTGTCATCGTGGTGACAATGAAAATGATTAGCTCTAAGAAAGGAAAATAATCTGGGTCTATAAAGTGGATGTTCCAGTATAACAAAATAAACTAGACATGAAAAATCATATTTCATAGGTGACAGTGAATAATTTGAAATGCATTCATTAAAACCAGAGAAAAAAGTGTGTACGCTATCATGAAAATCATTACATATTATTTAAAAACAAAAAAATAATAGACCATCCTACCTGAAAGGAAGAGACAAAGTTACTATTATCTGCAGACGCTATGCCTGCAAAAGCTAAGAACATTTTGGAAAAAAAAAACAAAAAAACAGCAGTAACTGAAGTTTTGCTTTACTGCATGTTTGCTTTTACCTGAAATTTCTTCCTTTCTTAATTTTCTTACTTCTAGTTAAGACCTTTTCTCTCCCTTAGAAGTTAAGAGCTTTATAAGTCTTCTCTAATTAAAACCATGTGGTCTCAGTGCTAGAATGATGGAGAAGTCAAAGGGAAAAAAAAAGAAAAAAAAAACCTAAAAATACAAATATTTATGTATATGTGCCATCCATAATCAGAGAGGACAGAATGGATTATTCAATGAAAAGAAAAGAAGAATGGAGCTGATACAATGGTCTCATCCTTTGGAAAAAGTAGATTCCAAACTTCTATCATCCAATAAAACAAATAGAAGATTTTTTTTTAGTGAAAGTAGAGATATATATTACATTTACAAAAAGAACGGATTTTAGACTGGCAGACAGAACACAGAAAATACACAGCTTTTCCAATTCTCACTACATTTTTCTAAGTCTTCATTAACATTAAAGTCATATAAAATCTCCAAGCAGCAGATTCTTAGATGAATGTAGAAAAACACACCCCATGGTAAATATAAAGATGCTGTTTTTTCATTTTTACTAAAACTGCTTTCTCCTAGTTATAAATGCAAATAAAAACTGATTGTTCAGGGGTGCCTGGGGGCTCAGTCATTAAACGTCTGCCTTCAGCTCAGGTCAGGATCCCAGGGTCCTGGGATGGAGCCCCACATTGGGCTCCCTGCACCGCGGGAAGCCTGCTTCTCCCTCTCCCACTCCCCCTACTTGTGTTCCCCCTCTCGCTGTCTCTGTCAAATAAATGAATAAAATTAAAAAAAAAAAACTGTTCAGAAAAGTGGTGTGATATATAAGAGCAGGAACTATTTTAAAGTCTTAAGATATGGCGTAAATCCAGCTTTGCAAACATAAATGGCAAAATTAATCATGCTTCAATGTAAATCCACTAAGAATAATATTTCAAAGACTATACAGTGACATGGGAAAAGTTCCATTCATTCAGCCAGTCAACAAATACTACGCTGGAGCCTGGACTATGCTGTAAAGATAGAATATTGAGCAAGGAACCTACGATCCTTGCTAGTCAAGAATCTCACGGTCTAGCGAGAAAGGCAAACAAAGATTACAGTGCTGATATACTTGATATAAAAGGTGCAGGGAGATATGCAGTCTACAGCAGCGGCACCTACCTCGTCTACAAGAGTCAGAGAAGGTTTTGTGGGAAATGTGGTATTGGAAGCTCAGATCTGACAGATGAATAGGAATTAGCCCAGTCATGGTTATGGGTGGAATTATATGCAAACTGAGGACTTAGCAGACAGAAATGCCCAGGAAGACAGGAGTGGACAGGGAGAAAAAGACATACGGAATTGTATATATGTTCAAGACCTAAATACATCTGCAGAGAATAAGACTGGGAGTGTATAAAAGAAAATAAGATCTGTCCTTAACTCTGGTTATAAAATTAGGAGTGTTTTCTAGTTCTTTTCTACTTTTCTTTCCTTTCTAAAGTAATCACACATTACCATTTACTGTTTACTGATCAAAAAGCATTATTAAAATAATACTTTACTATTTACTAGGTCTTATGGGAGGTTATTTTTGTTTTAAATCTTAGACAAGTCTCCTCTAAGACCTGCTTCATTCATTTGGAACATAGGCTAGTAACATTTAACTTCACAAAGTTGCTGATGTGGATCAACCATGATAACATCTGTGCAGGAAAATGGTTTTGTGGTTGTGGTTGTTGGACTTAACTCAGTTACCACCAGATCAGAGGGTACTAAAACAGAACCGGGGGTGGGGGGGGTTGGGGCAGGGGTTGTAGGAATGCATAGATCAGGAGGATGACAAAATGGCCCAATGAAATTGCCACTCCCCTCTAGAGCAATGAGGACAGTCGATGGCAATCAATCCTGGTACTGTTTTTCTCATGGAGCTTAGCCCCAATCTCAGAATCCTTCCCAGCCTAATACTCCAGGCAGCCCCCTGCATAAAGGCAATGCTACTTGAAACCTTTTGCTATTACTAACCTTAAGATTCCAAATATGAACACAATCAATTCAACCATTTTTAAAGGTAGTTTAGTTATAAAAATGTCCCAATTTATATTTCAATTTTTAAATGTCCTGGTTTTTGTTAAGAAGACTATCTTACAGCAGTTCTAGAGGTTTTGATTTAATATGTTCCAAGCCTCTCTTATTGATCTATTATACCAGAAACAATTATTAAGGGACTATAGGATTTTACAAATACGTTCACGTATATTTACAAATGGTGAAGTCAGATACACATATATCTTTATACCGATTGTTGCTTTTTCACGAAATAGGAAAAACAAATTTCTTACCTTTCCTCTGGAGTATCTACATGAAATGTTCTCTCTATAACAGTGGTCCACTGGAGACATCTGATAATAAATGTGTTTGGCTTTGGTCGTTCTGTTTTCATTAACTGGCATTCTAGAAATAACATAAAATGTCTCTTTGAATATACTTATATTTAAGCCACAAAGTAAATAGTCAAGAACGATAGAGCTCTGTTCTAGGTGAAACCACTATAACCTCACAGCTTTCCGTGGACCGCCACTCAGGGTGTTCACAACCTGACCTCAGTCTTCTTTTCCAATCCAACACCCATTCTGACCACATGGTCTATTAACCAACCAAACTGGATGACTTAAGTTTCCCCAAATACATCTTGCTCTGCCCTAGCTTTTGCCCCAGCTGCTGGGGCACCTTTGCCCTAGCTGCTTACTGTCTGGAATGGTGTCCACTGATTTCACCCCTACCTGCATGTAATCACCTACACTCAAAACCACACCTATTCTTTAAGGCCCAGATCCAATCCTACTCTTCCCATGAAGCCTTTCCTATCAACCTGGTCCTAAACCAAACATTCCTCTCTCCATATTCACATTACTTATTATTGTACCCCTCATTTTCACTATCTTATATTATTATGTATCATTTAAGAAGGTATCCTTATCCCTTACTTAGATTATATAGGGTATAGGCCTCTTGACCGTATATACCACCTAAACTCCTAGTAATCACAGCCCGTAGAACCAGCTGGTCAAGAGGGATAAATTATGTCAGGGAACATCTCAGAAGACTTCAAAGAAAAGCAGCATCCTGTAGTGGCTGAGAGTGTGGACTCTAACACCAGTATTCCTGGATTCAACTTCTTTTCCTACCATGTAACCTTGGACAAGTTAATTAATCTCTCCAGTCTTCAAGTATTAAAGGGGAAACAAGCACCTCCATCATAAAATTGGTGTGGGAATTAATAATAAATCAGTACAAGACTCAGCATAGCGTATGATACATAATTAGTTTTCAATAGATGTTAGCTATTATCAGGTGTATACCTGAGCTGGTCTTTAAGGATACATGGTATTGGACAACAAGACAAAGTAGGGTAGGGTTGTTTACTGACACTGCTCTTTGGAAGAAACAATTTCCTTGCAGCTGACAAAGTCAACTGTGTTTTCTCAGTGTCTGCCTGTTCTGTCCTATTCCATCATTAGCAACTATCAACTACCATCTCTAAGTCTCTATAGGACCTAGGCATTAGCCACATTGGACTAGTTCATGGACTCCTTGCACCAAAAAAGATCATTCACCTAGGATCTCTGCTTAGTTTTCTTCTCTTTTCTAACAAGGTTCATGGTTTCAGCCATCATCATCTCTTGGTTGACCAATATAAAAATCTGAACTTCCTTCCATCTTGGATCTGTATTTTGTGATACCCATGATTAACTATACAGTGGATGTATCTACCTGGTTGAATTACTGGTTCCTAAAACCTACTATCTTTCCTCCTGATTCTGTTCCTTCTCCTGGCTTTCCTAACTTTCCTGTCATCCAGACTGAAAACTTGGGGTGCTCTTGTTTGATATTGGTAATATATGCCATTACCTGGCTTTTACCAGAGATGCAGTTCTACTTCAGACTCTCACTGCCGAATGCCTCAACCTCCCCAGGTGCCATAAAGCTCTTCCTATGCAGAAACATGGAAGGGCTAGATCCATTACTTAAAGCTAGAAAGTGTATCCTAAAAGACGTCGGAACTCGGGATTTGTCATGATGAGCACAGGGGGAGGTATAGAAGTGTTGAATCAGGGCGCCTGGGTGGCTCAGTCGTTAAGCGTCTGCCTTCGGCTCAGGTCATGATCCCAGGGTCCTGGGATCAAGCCCCACATCGGGCTCCCTGCTCGGCAGGAAGCCTGCTTCTCCCTCTCCCACTCCCCCTGCTTGTGTTCCTGCTCTCGCTATCTCTCTCTCTGTCAAATAAATAAATAAAAATCTTTAAAAAAAAAAAAAAAGAAGTGTTGAATCACTATACTGTGGCTCCTGAAACGAATATTACACTGTATATTAGCTAACTGGAATTTAAATAAAAACTTTAAAAAAAAAAAAAAGACACCTGAACTCGTCCAAAAGCAAATGGATCTCTCCTACCCTTGGTCTCCTGCCCACCTCGGCTTCCACTTCCTCCATCTCAGCCGGCAGTACCTCCATCCTCTCAAGTGCTCAGGTCAAAAGCCCTGGGCTCACCCTAAGTCCTCCTCTCTCGTCTCCTACCTCATTCTGGAAATCCTGTTGGCTCCGCTTTCAAAAGATATCCAGTATCACTTCTCACCTCTTCCACTATTATCGGAACAAATCACCATTATCTCTAACGTGAGTACTTTGAAAACTCTAGAACAGCTCTCCCTGACCCTCACTACAGTCTGTTCTCAACACATGCAGCAGAAACCTTCTTAACATGATCAACTGCAGAAAAAAAATATATATACATCCTGCAGTGTTTCCAATTCACTAAGAATAGAAAACAAAGGCCTTTCAATGATCAACAGGGCCTCTATGTGATCTGGGGCTCCCATCCACTCCACTTAAGTTCCTGACCTCCTCACCTAGTTAGTATTCTCTCTCAGGCCCCTCTGCAGCCCACCTACTTGCCTGCGTTTCCTCGAATATGTACTGCACCTCCTCTCCCAGCACTCTGTCCCCTCACACAGCCCACAGATAACGCCTCACCACCTTCAAGTCTCAGATCAGACCTCACCTTTTCATGGATGCCTACCTTGACCGTGCTACTAAACTCTGTGATCTGCACCCCTCATCCAGACTCCCCCACCCCTCTTACCTGCTCTACTTTTTATTTCATACCATGTTATCTTCAAACACATGAAATGACTAACTTAGTATCTTTTTTGCTTCCTGTCTCCTCAACAAGAATGTAAGCTCCACTGATATATTCTTAGCACTAAGAACTGTGCCCATCTGTGCCTAAACAGTGTCTGGTTTTTTTTAAAGATTTTACTTATTTATTTGACAGAGAGAGAGAGAGAGTACAAGCAGGGGGAGCGGCAGAGGGAGAGGGAGAAGCAGGCTTCCCGCTGAGCAGGGAGCCCGATGCGGGACTCGATCCCAGGACCCTGGGATCATGACCTGGGCCGAAGGCAGACACTTCACTGACCAAGCCAACCAGGCACCCCAACGGTGTCTGTTTTTCCTGATAGCAGACACTTAATGAATGAATATTGTCCAAATGGATAATTCTGATAGTACTAATCCAACAAGAAGGTAATTTTGATGACATAAGAAAGAGGAGTAAACTTCTGGAGCAACTTCCTTATGCAGTCAAGAAAGGATGGGATCTGCTGGACAAGTAGAGGGCTGGCTCTAGTCAGGAGTACAGGCAGTTTAGTGACAGAACAAGACATGGAGACAAAAGGGCCCAAATGCAGTCAAGGGTATACATGGCAAGCAGGAGCTGATAGAAATGATTTTGTTGCTCCTATTGTTTTCAGTGAATTAGGGTGTAAAGCCATCTTTAAGAATCAGGTTGGAAGAAGATGCACCAGTGCTTTGCGAAGAAAGTCTCCAATAGCCTTCTAGGAGAATGAAAGAGCAGACAGACTAGGGAAATATAACATGACAGCTGGGTAGCATCAGGAACCCACTGGAATGGAATGATCAAGAATTCAAGCTAGTGCCAAGGATCATGGTTGTGTATTTTCCCCAGATACATTCAGCTACATGGGTGCAGGTGGGGCACAGAGAACTGGATTTCAGCAAAGCTGTAATTTAACCAAGTAAGTTTGGCAAAGCAAGAAAATGAAGAGAGGATGCAAGACATCTTGGTTGAATCAACTGATGAATTTAAACTGGGTAAGGAGGAAAACGAGAACCTGGTGGTGTGTAAGATAATGAAAAGGTGGTAGATTTGACAGGTCATAAAATCTATTGTTTCACAGTGAGATATCGTACAGCAATGTTACACACCTTTTGAGACCTGAATGTTAAAAAATACCAAATACAGAATGCCAATTTATATTCTTGTTTGAAATCTGAAAGTTTTAAAATACCAACACTATAAGTAGGCATGGTTTACATCTATCTCTATAAAGCACAGACCCAATCCGATTCTCTTTGAAGACCACTGTTCTTCCAGTATAGTTCCTTCTTCACAAAACTCCTATTAAGTTTCTGGCCAGGGTTTAATCCAGGTTAACGTGATGTCCTAGTAGAAATTAGGAATTATGGGCCCCACACTCCCCCACAGCGTGTGTGACGTGACAGCACGTGAGGGGACACCATCAATACTTCATGAGAAGTGACTGAGTGGCATTTAATGTAAAAAACGGAGGACAGACACTTCAAAGATGAGCAGGTTTCAATCAGGTCCTTCTGAAGCCTAGTTGAACAAAAATGTTGCTATGAACAAGCAGTAAAATAGAAATAAGCCTATATATTTTTTGATATACTCTATAAATGAATCCTATTTCTAAATAACACTAAATTGAGACGGTAAAAGAGACGAGCAGCTACCAAAACTGACTCAACATATTTAAGTGGTATTTGGGTCAGTACCAAGAGAAGAGGACACTCCACCACCAAGTCCCAGGGTTTACTGCTGTACAGAAAACAGAAACAAATGTAGTTAAAGAGCTGAATCTGAATTCAGAACACTTGACACTTTAAATCACCATGTTTGAACAAGTGGGTCAGGAAACAGAAAAACTTTGGGTTCTTTTATGCTAGCCATAATACAAAATCATGAACACATCCTACAGCTCCCCCTAAAATGAAGAAAAATATGGAAGTTTTCAGAACATGGTTCATGTTTGAACTCTCACTCTTACAGGAGACTCTTACTTTTTTTTTTCCAATATTACATTTTTTTAAAAAATTTAAATTCAATTAGCCAACATATATTAGTTTCAGATGTAGTGTTCAATAATTCATGAGTTGCATATAACATCCAGTGCTCATCACATCACGTGCCCTCCTTAATGCCCATCGCCCAGTTACCCCATCCTCCCCCACCTCCCCTCCAGCAACCCTCAGTTTGTTTCCTAGAGTCGAGAGTCTCTCATGGTTTGTCTCCCTCTCTGACGACTTCCCATTCAGTTTTCCCTCCCTTCCCCTATGATCTTCTGTGCTGTTTCTTA